CCACTTTTCCATATAACTAGTACACACTGCAGACCACCATATCAGATTTTCCAACTGACCATTCCACCTACGCCCCATCACCACCTACCACCCATCCCCATGACCCACTTTTCCATATAACTAATATACACTGCAGACCACCATATCTGTCTGTATACATCACTACAAAAACAACTGTTACTCCAAAGTATATAGAAACACACTACTGCCTCTTACCAGCCAGGCCCAATCTGCATCAGGCACTGTACACCCTAATCCCTCTCAGGGCGGGCAAGTCTCTCTACAAGCATGCAACACCTCAACATATGCCTGTGTGGGATCCTCAGAGACTTTACGAGGAACTACTAATTATTAATATAAAAGAAAGACCAATGACTTATACGTACGATAGATACCTTTGTTTGCATGTAGTGTCGTATTATTATAGTGAACCCGGGCAAAAGCCGTGGCCTTCGGCCTACAAAGAGGGGCGTATTATTATAGTGAACCCGGGCAAAAGCCGTGGCCTTCGGCCTTCCTTCCCTTCGATACCCCCGCTCTTTTTTGGGCTTCCTCTTTTGTTTCATCTCGCAGCTCACCTTTTACCATGCCTCCGATCTACAACAAGGCTCACCGAGTGGATTGTGGTTGACCGCGAGCTATTTGAGCTATTCACATCTTGTAAGCGTAATCGCCCACTTGCACGCAATGGAAAGAAAGCACAGTGAAAGGGGAGGTATGCTCCTGTTCATTTTCAGCATGTCTTCGGCTTAAATTTTGTGTCTTCTGTGAATGATGCTCACTCGTATACATTTAGTAGTGCCAAGGGGGGAGTGGTGGAAGAGAAGACGTTCTACACGAGGAGGCAGAAGGGGAAGGGCAGGGAGAAGGGACAGAACAGAAGAGAACCAAACTTCACAGGAAGGAGTGGGGGAGCGGGATGAGAAGTTCTACACACTCCGAGGAAGGGAGGGAGAGGTGTGCATCTGGTGCTCACGTGTGTGTGTGTTCAACACAGCAGGGGGTTTGCTGTCCTGTCCGTATGCACACAACTCGAACAGTCCTGTGAGCATGCGTGTGTGCGCATGTCTGTGTTCAAAACAGCAGGGTGTGCTGTCGTGTTCGCTATGCACGACTCCAACATAAAACCCAGGATTGTGATTCATCAGACTTTCACCGATTCGTCAAGATACTTGCTCTTTCTTTAAGAAAAGGGCCGCAACCCTGACAAACACAAATCAAACACAAAAACCACGAGCTGCGCAGTAATCCACGCTGGGCCTCGGAGATTCGAACACAGGTCCATAGTTCAACATTTGATGGGTGTACCTACTGAATTAAGGCCATATTCTCAATGACTTTCCTGGATGTATCCGCCTGCAACTACAAGTTGGGGTGCCTCCGGCCACAATGGCATCCCAAGCTGAGTCAAAAAATGTTATAGTGTGAGTATGTCCTAAGGCCTTTCCGTCACTTGTTCATCTCTCCGTTGGCCTGCCAGAAATTAAAATTGCACACACGGAAACGAAACAAAATGCAACAAAAGAAAAAACCTCCCTTGCATCTGTTTCTTGACCCGCTTGAAAAAAAAACTACACACCCATACACACCACGGAAAAACACAAACACGTCATCCCTTGCATCCGTTTGTTGGTCTGTTTGAAAAAACAACACACCCAGAAACTAAACAAAACGCAACAAAGAAACACAACCACATCATCTGACATACCTTCTTTCACTTCTGTTTCGTCTTTTTCGTGTAGTGGATAAAACCACAGAGATAGCAAGGGTATGATAAATCACGCCGCATCAGGAGTATGTTTTACATGAAACGCACAAGTTTGCATTGGACGGGTCCCGCAAGAGCACGAACATAAAAACGTGGCTCCCATCCAGGTGTTCGAGAATTGCCTGAGAGAGCAAGCGATGGCCACCCAGATTCACTTGAAGGGCTATATCTGCACGAGAATTGCCACTCCCAGGCTAAAAGGGTAATTTGCAGGCGATAAGCTTCTTATCGCCGGGAACCACACACCTTTCATCCACACACCTTTCATCCACACACCTTTCATCCACACACCTTTCATTCATTTTTATTTTCCGTTTTCTTTTTCTGGGGAAGATGAGCTCAAAAGGTTGCCATAGTTGAAGTATTTTTTTTTCCGCCCCCTCCCGGAGTCCCTGAACTGCTTGCTCTTCTAATACAACAACGCATTTAGTTTTTTTTCATTTCACTTTCAACGTCCAAAGCGGCATTTCCTGAGCCAAGCAGACCAACGGCAACATCACATCACCAGCGTTCCACCATGAGACACTTCCGTCGTCACAACTCACTCGAACCGGCGAAAGTGTGTTCAAATCTCCTGTCATTTGTGTGCAAATAAAGGATAGTTTTTCTATACGTAAAACAAGAAAAGGTTTAGCGAAAACAAAACAAATAAAAATCCACAAAAAAAACAAATTCTTGATTTCTGCATAAGCAAATTCAATAGGTATGCCCTTGACCTTCGCAGATCCATATCATGTACACTTTTGACAGATGTAGTGTCCTAAATCTAGGCTAGAAATTCCATACCCTTTACCTTCGCAGATCCATATNGTAGTGTCCTAAATCTAGGCTAGAAATTCCATACCCTTTACCTTCGCAGATCCATATCATGTACACTTTTGACAGATGTAGTGTCCTAAATCTAGACTAGAAATTCCACTGTCCTCTATCTCACTCCAGTGAACCGGTTCTAAAAGCATTCCACCAGTTCAGCTGTGGCTACTTTCACCGCTTCACGCCTAATTCACCGCCTACGTGTGCTCAAAATTCCATAGATAAGTAACATGACAGTGACATTTATAAGAAAGATTTCTGGAAAGATGGCTAAAAAATCTTTGTCAAACATGGAGGTACACAATATAGCAATCACAGGAAAGAGTAAATAATATAGCAATCACACGAAAGAGTAAATAATATAGCAATCACAGTCAGGAGCATACATGAAATAGAGAGTAGCTTCTGGAAACATTGGTATTGAAAGGTCCAAGAAACAGACAGTGCGTCACCACCACAACCTGCTAGGATCTTCTCATCCTTCCTCCACGGAAAAAGAAAATAGATAGCATCACGGATTCACCGCATGACAAAATCAGTACTACACATACCTGCATAAGCAATGTTCAATCAGCAGGAAACCACAGAAAAGTACGGCCACTCGCCCTAGCCAGCGACCGCAGAGCTGTTTGGGGCCCTCAGAAACTTTACGCAACCCATCTCATACAATTTTCCACGTAAAGAGTATGCATTTTTAGAGTATATATATATATCGTCACAAACAGAACTGCCCGGTAAACCGTTGGCAGAGAGAGAGAAGAGGACAACAAACGAGGGGCTGTGACAAACTGTTTCGTCGGAGTTTCACCGACTCATCAGGAGGCTGAACCCTCAACAGTCTGCAGAATCCCCTCACTGATTACACTGTAAATGATAATCTACCCTAACCAAAATCAAAGTAGACTGTCACTCACCCACACCAGATGGAAAACTCTACAGACTGTCGGTTCACACCCCATCACAAGCCAGCAAAACATCCACGAAACAAAGAAAGGTCTGTCACAGCCAAAAAATACACTCCAGACACGCCGCTGGCACTAGAGGCACAGCATGGCCGCCTAGTATATATATCGTCAAATAGAACTGCCTACGGTAAACCGTAGGCAGAGAGGGAGAAGAGGACAACAAACGAGGGGCTGTGACAAACTGTTTCGTCGGAGTTTCACCGACTCATCAGGGGGTATATATATAGTATGCATTTATTGAAATAGTTAATAGTTATTTAATAGTTATTTCTTTGCCCGATATCATACAGTTACAATGCTGGCAAGTCTCATCGAGTGTCTCCAACCACTCTGGTCAGACCTCTACGAAGAAATATGGTGGTAGACATGCTAATTGTACACAATTTCCCAAAGCTAATATATAAGTAAATCTTCTAGATGCTGTGTGATGTTGGGGTTGGGTGGATCCAGCATACCAGCGTACTAGGGCACCCTTCTGCTGGTCACATAAGAAAGGAGGAATCGTCTGAAGCATTGCAAAACCAAAATTATCGCCCACTATTGGTCTTGAAGTAGGACCGATCTACTGAAGGTGAGAGGGAGGCCCATTAGACAGGTCCAGTCTATTGGTGGGCAGCTTCACCTGCCGGGAAACTGGCCCAGCGTCCCATGTGCAATATTGGAGGGATTCAGGTTTCAGATCCCCACCCTTCTTCCTAGTTACATGTACCCTTTTGTTGCTTGTGGCTCCCTGCTTTCTTGACCTCCTGATAGCAACTTCCATCCTCTCCACCCTGGGTGAGACTTGGGCTGCCTAAGTTAGACCGGGCATGCACAGGCTGCTCAGTTAGAACTTAGTAGGGCCATCGAACCCCGACTCACCTACTGGGGATTGTTACTTCTTGCTTGGTGGTCCTGTAGGTTTGTTGATGGGTTTATTCATATTAGCCCTCGATCTCTAACTACAGGGGCATGTTCCTTATTACATGATTGTCTTGTTGGTTTGCTGGTGGGCTTATATTTCCATTAGCCCTTGATCTCTTGTCACCAAGAGTTCTACCATATACCAACCCAGCTCAGATATCTCTTCGTCACACTCAAAATTGCTTGGACAATTCCTTCGTCACTCGACATATACCTTGATTGACTCGAGGATCAGACATTCAACAAACTACCATCCAAGGCACCATCATGTTGGCTTATGCAAGTGCACACTGACACACTCCCGAGTATTCACACACGTACATATGAGATGTTGAACAAACTACCAACGTCGGTGGGGCATCACACTGGCTTCACATATGAGATGCACAAATCAGACAGACGCTCAACAAACTACCATCCAAAGCCACATGACCTGGCCCTGAGTACGCACACCAGTACATATGTGACGTTTGACAAACTGCTAACTCAGGTGGCATCGCGTTCGCTTCACACATGAGATGTACATATCAGATGTTCAACAAACTACTGCATGACGTTGGCTTACGCATGCGCAAGCACATACTCCCAACGTATGCACACAAGTACATACGAGAGGTTAAAAAAACTACCCAACCTTGGCAGCAACACTTTCACTTACACATGCGGTACATACTGAGCAGTACACAGAATATGCAACTCCCACGACATACAAAGGGTCGAGTACATAAACAAACCAAAAAAAAACAAAATCAAAATAAATCCTGTGAAAAAACATGGTAAGGACGGAGAATACCAATAGAGACAACTTCTGCCTCATCAAGAAAATCTAAGCTATATTCGAAAAAAAGAAACGAATAGAAAAAGACGAAAGGTAAAAAAAACGTGTTCCCATACCTATTTGTGGATACGTGCTGAATATGTGAGTATGTTCACTCCTGTACATACGTGCAGCAAACGTGAGTATGTGCACTCCTGTACGCATGACCCGCGTACATATATGCCATGTCACCCAGCGACCAAATTTAGTCTTTTCCTTCAGAAATTGAAGTGTCCAAACATATTCTGAGACACCAGAAAATGATACAACAATAGATGCGAGTTTTAGGCGACCTCACACCATCCTCCTTCCACAGATTCCTCTCCTCATTGGCCAGATCAGGAAACCCGACCTGCACATTCGAACACAGACACAGACTGTAAAACCACATCTCCTATCAATACAGGAGTTCCTAAAAAAATGCGCTCAAGATGAAAACTCGCGGACATCTGCAGCTTGAAAGACAGGCCACAGAGTTTTTTCTTTTTTTCCGGAAGAATATTTGAATCAACTCAAATAAACCTGAACTCAGGACAGATCACCTGCTGCTTGGCAGTGAGTCAATCAAAGCCACTCAGACACGACCTCGGTCCACCATCCTGCTCTCTAATCAAACCGTATCTACCCTACCAGAGCGTACAAAATCCAAGGTTGCAACAATCACAATTAAAATCACTATCACAACAAAAACGTTTCACACGTCAACTGCACTTCCACACGTCCACAAGGCAAACCACCTACATCTTCACCCATCCATCCGGCCACCATGAAAGCCAACTTCTATTCCACTTTATTCCTGCCCAATGTAAGACCCCTCTGTGACAGAGTACCATGCTTCTTCTTCCATGTCCATGAGATAAACCAACTCTCACCCGCCCGGAATCCCACCAGCTCACTCCCAACTTCTCACAGGAGTTGTTACACAGCCGCTTGGTTCAACAGGCCATCCCAGTCCACTTTCTCGAGCTGAATCATGCACCCACCAGACAGGATCACCTTACGCTCTATATACCTATCTACCCATCAAAAATGGCCCTCTTACCAAGCTTCGACGGGCATCGGATGCTGTACGGTTGCAGGTTTATACAACCTCTCCCAAGAAATTTTCTGGCAAAACGATCTGCACATGAGCAAACGATAGTTTCTCCGGGTGAGCTCATAAACAGCACGATCACAGCTTGATGCCTACAAAAGAACAGTTAAAACAACGATTTTTTCCTTTCCATCTCTTCCACTTTTCCTTAAAACAGCTTCCACTGCTCAGCTTCACAGGAGGCGGAGCTGCATGACAGGAAACTGTCACACGTGGTTCTGAGGGTACGGGCCCAGTACCAGTTGGTTTAAGGAACTGTGAGCTGTTATTACCACATTCTAAGTTGATATGCGATGCCACGCCATCGGTGGCACATCGGTGGCAGACCCCTCACTGCAACTTTTAGATCCCGTAAACGTGACAAAGCTATTGAAGGCTCGTTGGTTAGACCATCAGTACTTCAATAGGAAAGCGTTTTTTGTTTTTTTTTTGTTTTTGTTTTTAAGTTTCTCAGTGTTCTCACCCTCAAAAGAGGAAAACCGTCAGATAAAGAGAGCTGGTTAACAGAGGCCTCAATTTTCAGACCACTTGTCAGGCTATTTATAACAAAACCCAAGCAGATAAAAGTCATAAAACTCCTTCGTGTGACGAGCCCATGGTATTCTTCTTTGGTAAAAGGCAAAAGAATAGCATGCCATATGAGCTGAACTCGACTTGTACACAACCGGAATTTTAGGATGAACAGTGCTAACAGACCTCAACATCAGCAGCAGGCCAAAAAATATAAATGCACACATGCTGGCTCGTCTCTGTCTTTGGAGTGCAGAGAGGAAATTTGCAACAGGAAAAAGAGGCTCGTAGGTACTAGGCTTCGCGTTGTCTACATGCCAGCAGCACTATTCATCCTGGTCCTTAGAAAACAATGAAAAAAATAAAAAATTCATGCTGGTCTTCGCAAAAGGAACGAAGTTCAAAGAACTCATATTCCGAAGCCTAGCAAGTCTCTCGTGAGCTTGAGATGCATTCACCACTCATCAACCTCCTTCGTAGAGCTGTGAAGCAGCCTTTGGACATCGCCAGACCTCTCTCGAAATGTGCAAAATGAGAATGAACTTCACATTCGAACATAGCCAGATGCACCCGCCACATGTGTCAACTCCACACTTCGAGAGAAGGTGTGGCAACAAACACCCTTTACCCTTGGAAAGGAGACGGCTCAGGGTCACTGTAACAATGCAAGGGCATTTCATTACTATACAAAACTGTCATTTGCTATGGTGCATCGAACAATTATACAAAATTGTCATTTGCTACAGCGCATCGAACAATTCAGTGATGTTTTGCTACAGTACAAAAACCATTTCAGAACAACTCACGTTTTCACAGAACCTTCTGCTTGACATGCATTCAAGCAAGCAAAGGATGCGAGACATGCAAAAACAATATGATATGGTCACATGCTGCACACCAACGTATATACAATACATGCAAGTAGTATTCAAACAAACGGAACAGAAGTCCACTGGCAGAGAGGCACACGTAGTTACTGATCAAACGTGAGTGAAAATGATAATGACGCTTCCAATTTCGCTCAGCATAGCGCACAAATTCCCATCTCCTCTGCATACTGCAAGAGTTGCAGCCTTTCTGAGTTAGAATCTAGATGACAGAGCAGGCAGATAAGAACACGCGTGTGTGAGGTGTTGTATAGGTCAAACAAACCTTCTCGCCAGGCTTGAAGGGAGGTAACCCACGGTAAGGACAGCCGCCACACCTGAACGCATCTCCGAGGCCACACTGCGAGCATGAAAACGAGACCAGAAAGTACGTCAACCAACAAAACCTGTCATGCGAACTTCAAAACCAGGCAAGAGAGAGGGTATGAACGAGTGTGAAGTACTTAAAACCACCATTCCAAAATCCGGCATGGCCAGCGTGGGGACCCACAGATCTGGAGCCATAACTCCAGGAAGATGACATTATACTGTTTGTGAACTTATGTTCTTGCTCAGAAGAGCATCTGAAGAGTGAAGTTTCCGAACACTATTTCACAACTTCGAAGGTTCATTTATCACCCAAGACACCAGTGCGCTTCAAGAGCTAGCTTATTTTGTAAGAGACGGCAAGGTATAAAAGCCCACAGCTATCCATGTGATTTCAGCCAACCCTGTGTCAGATACCACGCTCCTCCCCCATGCCGGCTATGAAGACCAGGATCGTTTTCCCAGAGCACCCTTCGCCAAACAAAACCAGCAGCTAATTTTTGACAAATGTTAAACCTGCGCTGTTTCCATGTTTCTGCAGAGAGACGTCCGCTCACAGGGCCGACGAGCCAATGGAAACGCCATCGAGCACTACTCAAAGGGTTTACGTGTTATCCGTCACTGTGGTTGGAAATCTGACAGTCACAAAAGACCAGAACAATACACAAAAGTCTATGCGACCTCAAATATTTGGGAAGCATACACGAGCACAAAGTGTCGGTCCAGGAAAAGCTGGGCAAACATGCATAATTCCACAGAGTCAGGGGGAGTGAGCTGCATGGTTTTGAACTCCTGATCGGGATAATCAGAGGTCTAAGTGATGGTAGTGGGCCAGTCATGGACTGGTGGCCATTCCAGCGCGTGGATCCTCGACTCATTGCCCTTGGCCACCAATCCATAAGCTCTACATAAACTCTAGTATGTAGAGTAGATAGAGAGTGAGAACCGGAACTGGAAAGCATATACACTCCCGGTATCCACCTCTGTCACAACTCGAGGCAAGTGGAAAGATGAAGAAGAGAACTGAAACACAAACCCCAAGAAAAGCTGCATGAGGTCACGCAGCTCTCCACCTATATCTCGAAGCCTTCGTTTCGTGTTTTAAACAACTTGAGCACGCGAGGATGACATGCCCAGCATTGGAACACAGAGGACAGTGAAGGAGATCAACAGGGTAACTCACATTGCCACAGTTTGACTGTGGGTTCTCCAACATATCCTTTGTGAGAACCGGTTTTACTCCCTTTGCTTCTTGCTCAGCTCGTCCGCAAGTACAGTTCTTGCATGCCTTCCGCACACCACCACTCCCGACCTCGCAATCGTCATTAGCAGGAGCTGCACATCCAGGCAACATCAGATCAGATACTGCGTCACTCTCCTCGTCATTCCACCTCTAATACCCCTCAACATGGCACAAGTCTAACGCCCTTACTCATCAAAAGGCAGCAGCAATAAAAGCTGAAATTGGTCACACAGTATCAGTTATAGACAACTCAATATTTGCAATCTCAGAGAGGTATATAGTAAAGAAACCAGGCTGAAAGCATAGCAGAAAGCGAAGAATACATAGAAAGACAAATAAAAAGTTGCAGAAGGAAGCCTATTGACACAGTACCTATAATTATAAAAATTTATAAGACAAAAAAAGGAACGAAGCTGCAGAAGGAAGCCGATTGACACAGCTACCTGTAATTATAAAAATTTATAAGACAAAAAAAAATTATAAGACAAAAGAAGGAACGAAGCTGCTGAAGGAAGCCTATTGACACAGCTACCTATAATTCTAAAAATTTATAAGACAAAAAGGTCACCAAATCAACACCAAAAATGGAGGGGTGTCTCAACATTCTCCACCAGAGTGCCTTGAAGTCCCAAACTGGAACTAGTCAACTAAACATCAAACCCAAAAGCTCAAGCCCAGATCATCATCATATACTCTCAAATGCCAAACACCCACTGACCACAGCTGAACACACACCATGTACATATCGAAGATAACCATTCCACCACCACTGCACCACTGTCAGAGCTGACAGCCAATGAGGTCAGAGGTCGACAGACGATGAGCCAGAAAAAAATAGACAACCACAGGTAGTCAAAGAACACAGTGGTGTACATACGATGACTGGACAAAGCATGCCATGAACCTCATCAAGCCCTCTACAGAGAGAGTCTTTATCCCTTCCATAGAAGGGCCGAATCTCAATCAGAGGGGAACTCGGTGACATTCACCACTACCATTCAGAATTCGAGAAAATTGTCGGATAACATCGAAAGTTAAGTTCCGAGTTCGGGAGAGTCGTGAATTAAAATCCTTGGGATTATCCAAAGAATTCTCTTCTAACAAAATGGGACTCGGAGATGGCTGCAAGGGCGAAAATAGAGCAAATTGCATGTTCAAGAATCAACTTGATTTGTTCATTCCCAGGCGGTGATCACAGGCCATCAGCTCCCGTACAAGTTTTCACCTACAACATCCATGCCAGGGATGGTCACCCAGGTCAGTGGTGGTGACAGCTTGCCCCACAGATTGCCACCCTTTGATAACACCAGGCATCCCCACTCCAGAGATCACACGCCCAGGGAGAGTACCAGCTAGCCAGTGACCGCTACCCCAGGGTGGAGCAGGGTGGCCTTTGGTACGAGGATGGACTGAAACGCGGTTGGGGTGGGACTGAGGGTGGGATGCGAATGGTGAGGTGAGTTGTGGTGTGGTGGAACCACCACTCCAGTGGGGTGGAACAGCCACGAGGTGAGGTGCAGTGATGACCAACCCCCCTAACACCTGTAACAACTCACCCCTACTGCTGTATGTGCATGCTACAAGAAGTAGGCTAGGAATGCAAGTGACCGTGAGGTTCTGGCGTGAGGTTGTCTTGTTCTGGCATTCCGTCCATTTACATGAGTGAAAAAAACAATGGTGGAAATGCTCTAGCATGTTTTCAGTGCTACGCAGGTGGCTGATCGGATATACTGGTGGTTTAAGCACAAAGAACCAAGCACACAGATCTTTTTCGAAGTGTCCTCGGAACTGAACTCACATTGAGACTCCTACTCTTTAGTGACAAAGGCAACATACAGAGTATATGCATGAATATGTGTGTTCGTGCTTTTTCGTCTTTTTCTTTTTTTTTTTCCAGGCCAGAGCAAAAGCCCACGACACCCCAGGACAAGCTCAGTTAAATCCAGCGGACGATTGAAGTGCATAGCTAAGCAACCAACAAAAATGTGTTAACAGAACTTAAACATCCTTCATGACAACAACACTGGTGGAGCTATTACCCCTGCGCATGGATGCTCTTCGAGTATGTCATTCCAGCCAAAAAACACCCCTCCTCTCTGGTCAGGACAAAAATTTAGCTCGAGGCTTGAGATTCACACATGCTGGAGTGGTTGCAGCTCATAGATCTTCCATACCTTCAATGGAGGGCTGATCTGCTTCGTCATCGTCCAGGAGCTCATCTTCATCAATCAGTTCATCATCGTTGTTTTGCATTGAGATCTGGACAACAGATGACCCTCCTTTATGGGATCCATTCACTCCATTGGTACTAGGAGCAAGTTCGCTTAAATCATCAACACTGAGCTTCACCGGGCCAGCCACAGTGCCCTTCACTGGTCTTCGCAAAGAAAATGATGTCCCAGTTTCCCATTGGGGTTTGCGAGCCTTAACCTGCTTGAACAAAACACACGCGTTCAGGGTCCAGTCTCACATACTACTGCTCAAGTCTCAGAGGCCTTCAACTGGAAGTACTTACGCAAGCCATGGCATAAGTCAGTCTGCCAAAAACGCCCACATGGTCCAGTCTCACAGACTACTGCTCAAGTCCAGGGCCACATGATTCATAAGAAGTCGACCAAACACCCATTCTAAGGCATAACAGGCCAAGAGACCAATTTTGACCGGGCAATTGCGACGCACATGTCAAACACAATCAACGAGTCCGCAACTTCAAAACAGTGACCAAAGGGAAAAGGGGGGCTCAGAAGAAGCGAGGTTTCAACAGAGGATACAATGCAGCACTGACCGATGCTTGGGCTGAACCAGCAGTGTCAACCACTCATAACGAGAAGCTATCTTTCACAACGGAAGCACATTTTACTGTTGTGCAAAGCTTTACCAAAGCTCGCATATAACGGCATTCTGCAATGAGCCGCACAGGTCACTGCCTGAGATCCCTGCAGTTTCCAAGACAACGCTGTTCTTTTTGTCTGTTTTCTGAGAAATCGGTGTCCAAGTCTGTCCTGCTGTGATCCGAAGTGATTTCCAAAAGTGCATGTGCAGTGTGAACGTCTGGTCGAAGGCTGGATCCGTGTGCTAACTCTGTTGGCTCATGGCTGCGACCTACTACTAACATGCAAAGTGCTAACTCTGTTGGCTGTGTGTGCGTGGCTGCAACCTACTACTAACGTGCATGTGCAGTGCTAACTCTGTTGGCTGTGTGTGCATGGCCTCTGTCCTGCTGCGACCTACTAACGTGCATGTGCAGTGTGAACGTGTGGTCCGAGGCTGGGTCCATGTGCTAACTCTGTTGGCTCTGTGTGTGGCTGTGCCTCCGACAGAGATAGACGTCGAGAGGCAGGATGGAAATTAGCAGCAGGAGTAGGATATGCAGGGCGGGGTAGTCTGGAGCTCAGGGACAAAAGTAGAATTGGCAAAGACCTGGTAGGATTTTTTGACAACTTTCGTAGGCCCTGAGAACTGGTAAGGCTTAATGGGTACTTGTGGCATTCTGAGCCACACGGACCCCAGTTAGAGCCAACAAATAGGCAGGGTAGGCCTAAGGGACGACGGTTCAGATGAGGCCCAGATAGGCCAGGACCACGGCGGTTCAGGCAGGCCAGTGGTAGAGGCACAGGCCAACAGCCACAAGGCCGGTACCGCTCCAGCATAGGACCTACCGACGGCGCTGCAGAGGCTGCCGCATTTAGGCGCCAAATCCAGTTCGAATCTGGACCGTCGATTCAGATCAACCGTCCAGGCCGATAGGTACCAGCAGGTAGGAGGCCGGCCCAGCACTACAAAAGGCTGGGTACCAGCCTCAGTAGAGGTTAGAAGTTAGTACGGTTGGGTTAGTCTTCAGGATTAGCGCAGCGTTCCAGCGTTAGTACGATTAGCGCAGCGCTGCAGCATAGCGAGGAGCAGCGACGAGAGCAGGAGTTCAGCGGCAAGAGGATCAGCGCAGCGTTGGGCACAGCGCCAGTTGCCGGCCCAGCCCCCCTTGCAGCACCATAGCTACCGTGGCAGGTCTTCCTCCCTCTTCTTCCTCCACCGCTCTCTCTCTCTCTCTCTCTCTCCTCCTACCTTCTCAGTCTAAGGCTACTTCTGGGTTCTCGTACGGGACTACTATGAGTATGAAAGATGGTTACGAATCCTGACGACATTGGAGACAGCAACATTGGGACTATAGGTTGACTACTTGTGGGATCTGATTTCATCTGCCTCTGGAGATGTATTTGACATTGTGAGATCGATATCTGAGACATTGTGGGACACTGTATTCGCAACATTTCGGATTCTCACCATCTCTGGCATTTCAAGATACTATCTTGGAAACATCAAGTTGACGTCATCTTCCCTCTCCTCCTCCCTTCGTCTCTCTCCTCCCTCCATTCGTCCGTGGATGTTCTCAGACCCTGGCCTTTCGTCTGTGTCCAAGGCCAGGGCTTTCGCACCCCGATGAATGATTGAGAGTGTTCGATTGCAGTCCGAGTCAGGTCAGAGTCAGTCCATGTATCTCAAGACTTCCGCTGTGATTGTATTTACTCTGCATTATCTGGTTGGTTCTGGGAATCTGCGCCATACTTATGACTGTGTTTCACGCGTATGCAACAGCACTCCAGTAGTCGCCAAAACGAGACGTGATTGCCCGCACCTAGTAGGGTACTAGGCTAGATACAGACCCTGAGGCCAAGTTGCAGGCTGAAATGGTGTTCCCTCCAAGAGGGACCTGGCGGGCCTCGTGCACCTAAGAGAGGCCGGGTAGTGCTGGGTGGCACCCGGCCAGAAGGTACCAGAGGCCAGGCAGCCGAAGTACATGAGAGAGCGTAGCGTGTACAATAGTACACTTCGGTTCAAACTTGCGCTTTATGCCGCTCCAACCACAGGGTGATGTTGGCAGAATACTTGAGGTGAGCTGGGGGGTGATGGTGAAGACCTCCGTCGCTATGGAGAATTGATCGAGAAGTGGTAGAGGTAGGCCTACGGAGGTGAGGGTGATGGACCTCTAGCCGGCTATGGTGGACCATTAAAGGCAGGGGGAAGAAGGAGATGGGAACCGGGAAGGACACTAACCTTCAGACCATCTTCAGTCCCTTGCTTGGTGCTGCATCTAAAAGGCCCCTAACCAGGTACCAGCTAAGCTGGGACTTCATCCGAGAGTTTGGCAATGGCAGGTGGGGACTGGAGAGGCTGAGTAGAGTTTGCGTTGTCCTTTGACCATCCGTGATGCACATGGACGATCCGCCATTTACCTACCAAGGGCAGGCCAGTGAGGTTATGGCCGAAAGGAGGGCTCTTGTGTGTGCTGGCAGTAACGGGGAGTACTTGCTGTCTAAGACAATGATGATGATGAGGGGGACGAGGGAGAGATGACATTGTTTTCCACTTGTGTTTATCTTCCTCTTCTATTGTTCATTCCCTCTTGTCATACTTCTGCTCTCAATCACTTCCATTTAAGTTGCAACGGAATGGCATTCTCTTTGTGAGCTCTTGCACTGGGAGATGACCAAGGATCATAGCAATCGTTGCGACGATATCACTTACAGCGAGTGGAACAAGAAGAGGCCCGTATGACGAGCCAACCGATGCATCTGTCACCCCCACGAATCTTGAAGACAGACCAACTTCCAACAATGGGTCCAAAGCTTGACTTTGAATAAATCCACTCAAAGTCAATGCTCTCTCCAAACCCTCCTTCGATTGCAAGCTGCCAGCCAGTGTCCCTAATCTCTGACAACAGTCATATGGTAGAGCACACACGACCAGCAATACATACACAGCCACACCAATCATCAATAAGACTGCTGCAGTCAGAAAGTCCTTGTACAGTCATGTATATAACACACACGACCAGCAATACATACACAGCCACACCAATCATCAATAAGACTGCTGCAGTCAGAAAGTCCTTGTACAGTCATGTATATAAATACGTACATACTTGTATATCTAAAAATACGTCAAACAGAACTGACCGCTAAACCATTGGCAGAGAGGGAGAAGAGAACAACAAACGCAGGGCCATAACAGAACTGCCCGGTAAATAGTAGGCAGAGAGGGAAAAGAGGAGGACAACAAACGAGGGGCTGTGACAGACTGTTTCATCGGAGTTTCACCGACTCATCAGGATGTCGAACCCTCTGCAGTCTGCATAGTCCCCTAACCGGTGAGGCTGAACACACTACAGTCTGCAGTCCCCTAACTGATGATACTGATAAAAGCATCAACGACTGCCTGTCAATTGCCACCCTGAGGTGGGAACCAACCACTGCGCTACCCTAAGGTGGGCACCAACCACTACCCTCAAGGTACCTGAGACGGAAATCAAAGCAGACTATCGCTCACCGGCACCAGAAGGAAAACTCTACAGACTGCAGGTTCACACCCCATCATAACATAGCAAAACAGTGAAAACACCCACGAAACGGAGGTCAGTCACAGCCAGAAAATACACTCCAGACACACCGCTGGCACTAGATGCACAACACGACATGACCGCAGATTGATGGCCCCGATCGCTGCCGTTCCACCTGACCGGAGAAACCATAGCAGGGAGCTATCAAAGTCCAGAACTTTCTTCTTTCCGATCATCCATGTCCAAAGCAAGAAAGACGACTCACATCATGTCAACCACAAATCCAGGTCCATGAATATATTCACTTACCTAAAACTACAATCATCATAGAAGCACATCACCTAGACATATCCTCTCTATGGAAAGCAGCACTATATAATGATGGAAATGCTCTCCCAACTTACAAACAAGCCATCTTTATATCGCATTTTCCCATTACTTTTCTCAATTAAAAATTTGGACCATTTCTCGATTTATGTATGTCATCCTTGGCGCAGCGGCCATGCTGATCTTCTCTCTCTGTATCGTTCCGATTTTAACGGATTTACCCAAGGACAGTTTCCCATTACTATCTGTCCTGGTATCTGCTAATAACATATAGCCTGTTGCTTGCTATATTGCTGTTTTCCTTGTTTACTATCCTAGTTTGACTTCTCGTTGGCTGTTTTAGTCTTTTGGTATACTGTAGTTTTCCTCGTCCCTTGACATTCTAGTATGCTTTGGCACTGCCTTACTACTACCGTCTTCCCCCGAACATAACGCACCCTGATAATGAATGTACACGAAACGTTTTCGGTCTGGTACAGCCATAAAGAGGGTGCATTGTGGTCGGGGGAAGAAGGTAGATTCTGCAGCTTTGCCTTGGAGCTCACCTTAGCGCTCAGCTCAGCATACGGGTCCACGCCGTAATGCTGGACAATACTCTCGAGGAAACAGTCCTGATATCCGATTGCCACTTGCTACAAACCTCTCCGGGAACAGACTGAACAAGAGCAGCTGGGCATTGCTCGTCTTGGGGCCATTTTCTATGTCCAGCTGATGTCTTATAGACACGAGGCAAATTTCGGACGAGGGGACAGTTGGGGAAAGTGCACTGAGGATCACTTACGTGACAGGTGCTTCGATTGAAATTGGAAATTCCATCTTTTCTTGGGGTTCAGAGGGAGGGGGGAGGTTTGGGGGGGGGGAGGGGAGGGAGGAGGCGGGGAATGCAAGAAAAATGAAAGTGACGACATAGGCCAGAAACAGGTTGGAGATGGCTCTCATCCGGCCAGCAAGTCTCACGCTAAAGAAAAATTGCCTATTTTTGACAAATCTTCTCTCCCTTACAAATACGAAACGAGGTCATCCATCAAACATGCGTTCGTACTTTGGGTATTCACAAAAAAAACGAATTTTGCAAGACCATCACCGTCATTGTGTTAATGTGTGGATTCCCTAATTGGAGCCACAAAAGATGTCAACAGGAGCTAGTGCCAGTGCAAGCCATTCGAAGTAGGAATAACTCAGGGCATACTCACACGGGGACCAAATGAACCAAAATCCCAAAATTTGAGGCATTTTTGTGGTCACACGGGGTTGGCCCTGTACCCAAATGCCTCAAATCGTGACCAAATGTCAGCGGCCTGCGAGGCCGCGGGGGTACCCTTTTTGAGACCACCTCCAGAGGTGGTCTCAAATGACCAAACGCTTTTTTCGTTTCCTTTCCTCAATTTGTAGAAAATCGTAGAAGAATAAGACAACCAGCCGAAGTTGTTTTTCTTTTCTTTTTTCTTTTTTTTCTTCTTCTTTTCTTTGGTGTCCCCTCGTGTGACCACACGACCTTGCCCTGAGTGCAAAGTGTCAGGGCTTATACACATCTAGATGTGTATAAGAGACAGCATTAGCGACCGCTACAGTACAAAGCAGATGAATCCAGAAAACCAGAAGACCGACTGTAAAATTGGAAAGATACAGAGAAGATTAGCATGGCCCCTGCCCAAGGATGACACGCATAAATCGAGAAGGAAAGATTGAACCAACACGACAATTGAACCAACACGAAAACCAGAAAAGATCGACTGACGACAAATCCGAAGGAAATGATTGCGCCCGCTACAGTACAAAGGAGATGAATCGAGAAAACAAAAAGACCGACTAAAACGAAACCAGAAGGAAATCATTGAACCAACACGAAAACCAGAAAAGATCGACTGACGACAAATCAGAAGGAAATGATTGAACCAACACAATAATTGAACCGACGCCGAAAAGGAGATCGTTTGGCAAACCATGGTCGGAGCGTTTAACTAGATGAAAAAGACAAAGAGAAAAGGGTGGGGTGCTTGCATCGCGCCAGCTGATTGACCCAGTGGGCCTCAAGTCCATACATTATGCATGGCCCGCAGAAATTTCCGCCGGCCGCCCAGTGGATGAAAAATTCAGGGGCTCCAAAAAAAAAAAAAAAAAAAAAAACAATTCACGGGCAAGGCGCGCGCGATTCCATCGCAGGCCTGTCTCACGGTGCTACCGTCGACACCAGCCGATGCTGAGGCACGGAATGGGGAGGACATGAACGGCTGCAAGCCGCAGCTGGGCATTTTGTAGGGATAGCTGCGCCCCCAATCCACCCCTCTAGAAAACGGCTCCTCGGAGTCGCTACTTCCGCTGGGAGAGAAAGAAATCTCGAAGAATTTTCTCGTCCACTTGCGCACTTCCGCTTTTTTCTAAGGCCACTGGCCGGCGTGAGGGAAAAGTAGAGCAATCCGCCGCTTGATTAGGAGGATGGAACAAGGGACGTAGACTGGCAGGAAAGGAGAGGGGACGGGGAGAAGACCAATCCAAGCCAGTAATAGACGTGTATTACTAATTAAAAGGGAACTGCGACTGCACTTTACGCAGTGGAAGACAAATCAATGACAAAAAACTTAACCCAGTGTAAGACAAATCAATGACAGAGTGTTTCAACGATTGAGAAAGTGAAAAAGCGAGGAAACCCCATCAACGATCGACTGTTTTAAGGAGCTTCAGCGAACATCCGAAGGTGACTAATAAGGGATAATAATGGGAGTGAAAGAGAGCGATCAGTCGTCGCGATGATCTAACTGAGGGAGAATAAAAAAAGCCACCGAAAAGAAAAAGAACTCCCTGGGACCAAATCCATGATCGTGCTGTTTCAACGATAGATGAAGTGAACAACGTGGAAAGCTAGGCTACCAGAGTGGCCCGGGTCCACTTGCCCGGCCGGGCCAAAAAGCGAAAAAAAAAAAAACGATTTTTAAATTTAAATTTTTATTCAAAATTTCAACGATTGGTTGTTTTGAAAAGCATCAGCGAAGATCCGAAGGTGAAAAACAAGCGATAATAATGGGAGGGGAAGCGATGAGTCGCGATGACTCGACTGATGGAGACAAGAAAAAGCCACCCACCACTCCCTAGGAGGGATCGTTAGACCTTCACTCACTTTATCTTTATCAGATTACAGAAGCAAAATCAACGCGGAGAGGAGGACGCTAGAGAGTCCGAAACGAAAAACATCCGAAACTACACTCGAACGACGAACAGAAAGATAGAGGGATAATCGGACTCTGCCCATCAAAGCCATAATACTACTGTAATAATCGTGGCTTACTGGGCACAAAAACTTTCCACTCACCGTCGATTCCGCACCGACGGGACTTCGCCGACAACAGGGCTCTTGAATCGTAACCTCCCCTCCCGATCGAAGCACTCTGTTGAACTCGCTTAACAGGGGAGCAGTATGATGACCCGGAACCTCCGCAACGCTCAGAATCACATCCACGGACGACGATTCCAACGCGAGTTTCATGCCTGCGGCAGCAAGTCCACATACCGCCCAAAACCGCGCGCGCGAGCGCGCGGACACACAAACGCACATACCAGCCCGCACGTGAGCACCCAGAAACAATTGCAGATACAACGGCAAAGGCAGAGGGCTGGCGAGCGATACTCCGTAAGAGGGGAGGGGTCGTGGATGGGAAGAGAGGGGACACGCCAGAGTCAATCCAACATGCACCTGACAAAACTTGAATAAGCAGAAGCATGAAGAACGGTAAGTACTGCGGTCGCACAGGCGGTCACACATGCTATCGATGCTAAACAACAACAATCTACATGCGATGCGATTGTGTGCCTGCACGACCGGTTACTCTTCCGTTTCTTCCGTCTGCTGTCCTCTCGAGAAGAAAAAAATTTGCGAAAAAAAACACAGAGCTCGTGCGAACACGGGCTCATTAAGTAGTATAGCAGTTCCTCACTCGGAGCAAGATATCGTACATCACACGGCATTCCAACTTTGAGTAAAGAAAAGAGCAAGGCTGTCGGCAAAGGGCAGGAGTGGGTCGGAGCTCCTGCAACTCCTACCTTCGATACAACCATCCCAATCCTATTCAACATTCCAAATCATTGATCCATTCAAAGGACGCCTGCACGGCAAGGTTGGACGTCTCGGGATGATTTCAGACAAGCTCAACTCCTCCGCTAATCCTCCCGGACCAGCACCACCACCTCTGCTGTTGTCGCCCTCACCAACGAACCAAAACACCATAGCAAAAGACATCTCGCACATCATCGCCCCCCCCCCATTGTCAATTGCAACCCTTTTATATTTAGCAAGCAATCTTAGGACGCCCGCACGCACGCCATCGTCATCACCCGACCCCCCCCCCACACTTTCCTTACGGGAAAATCATCACCGCCCCCCCACACACTTTTCCTAACGAGAAATTTATTTCAAAAACTCAAGATCCGCCCACATTATAAACAAACATTCAACCCAACCCCTCACCTTGACTTTATCTCCCCTCTTCGCCCTTGATTTCCGAAAATCACGCGTTCTACGAGCTTCAGCGACCACTCTACAGACGGATGAGCTACCGCGCCAAACACTAAATCCGTCGAAGGAATTCAATTTGGATTACACACCAAACCCATTACGGCAAAGTACATGCGCGATTAGATCGATCACCATCTGACTGGGGCGACCACTGCTCGCTTGCTAATTGGCATCATTTCTTCAACCCCCCTCATAGTCGCTCTTCTTGGTCGATTGATTAGCAACTGATCGATCAGCACTCACTCCCATTGACTAATCAATCGTTCTGATCAGCACTCACTCCCATTGACTAATCAATCGTTTCGCTCACCTCGACATAGATCGATCCATCGCCAACTCCTTGGGCCCACTAAAGAAACCGAGCTGGTCAATCAGTTACTCGTCGTAATCAATTGCTCGCCGTAATCAATCCGACCGTCATCGCCCAATGGACTGCGTCCATTACTCGGTCGTCTTGAACGCCGTTTGATAATCGCTTGCTGAATTGACAGCTCGCCTAATCCATACGCGCCGTAATCTTTCATAAGACCCGCCGTTTGATAATCGCCTGCTGCATTTACTGCTCCCCTACGTCTGTCTATCGCGGACGTCGATTAAACTAATCCATTCGCACCATAACCTTTCATAAGATCCGTCGGACAACAGATACCCCGATCCTCCCCACCTCGTCAGTTAGTTAAACAACCAATCAGTCAAGCAATCATAGCCAATCGAGCTTCCATCAATCTGCGAAACAATCAAGCCGACCGACCACGTTCAGCATTTCAAATGACAGACTGTACAAGCATTCAGTTTGTCGTTCGTTTCCCAAGCCGATTAATCATCTTTCAGTTTTCGTAAAACCCCTACTCTAATCACAGCCGAAAGTAGAACAGGGTGAGGCCGCAAAGTCATCATACTCGAATCAAGAAATCACTACGGAGGTTTCATTGAAAACACCGAACGACCACACAGCCCAATCTACCACGAGTCATCGCCAAGAAAAGGCGACATCAAAAAAAAAAAAAAAAAAAAAAAAGAGCGACATCAATTTCAATGACTACCGTCATCGTCTTTTTTCCATATCTTCACTACGACATACAGTATTACACTGATTGGTTAAGAAACAGGTACCCTTCGCACTGATTGCAATAACTACCGGCATCGTCTTCTTTCCATATCTTCATTCATCAACTCTTTAAAATCGACGTATCCACTATGAAAAAAAAAAAAAAAAAAAAAAGAAGAGAAACTAGGAGCTACCTCGTCCGAAACCAACCACTCACGTATACAGGGCGATCAGTATACACAGACACTAACTCGAAGCCATCATCAACCCTCAAGTGTTGTTTTCAGCTCGACGTATAGCGCATGGTCGTTATGCAGTGGATTCAGGACAACTTCAACCCCCACTGGGAGTACGTGCCCATGCCTTCTATTCGCGGGTGAACGGCGTGTACTAAACGAGCCATTCGCCATGTGCTAAATTCAAATTGTCATATCGTACAGGAGCGCATTTGTTCGAACAGAAAAACAAACAAGAGGACAAAAGAAAAAAAAAAACAAAGCCGGAATGAACTATAGGACAAGAAAAAAAAAACAAAGGCGGAATGTATAGCAGAAGAAGCGCAAAACAACGAGGAATACAGAAAAACAAAACGAGGGGGCAGAATAAACTACAGGAAGAAGACAAAGGAGGACTGTATAGCAGAAGCAGCACAGAACGAGTACATCTTAAGCATAGACAACCGCAAATCATCGTTGATTTACGAATAACATCTCATATCGCGCAGATAACCCGTTAACAGCAATCGAATACCATGGATAGAAATTTGTAATACAGTGTTTCACTCATTTGCTTCCAGTGGAGTTCGGACTCGGATATGTACTTCAACAGTTAAGGTGCGTGTACCAACTGAGCTAGGCCAGTTGGTACCTTCAATTTTACGGTTCACGTGAAATTCAACCCCCCGCCAACACAGCTTCTTTTGACAAGTCCGCAAAGATACTGCCCTTCTCCATTCGTTCAATTTCAATTATCATGCCCACCTAATCTGCTATCCCTCCATGCCCTCACACTCGGGTTAGTCTGACCACTTAATCACACACTTAATCACACACAGGGAAAAATAAAACCGAAAAACGTGCCGCATCCGAGATACAAGTCACTGGACCATTCAATGCATCAACACGCACATGCATAACTACGCTCTTGCACAACTACATCTTCTTCGACTGGCAATTATACAGTCAATTACTCGTTCCACGAAGTTGCGCGCCATGACGGTCACCATCCGACCACCATCATCTCTATCACCACCATCATCATATCAACCATCCGACCACCATCATCTCTATCACCACCATCATCATATCATACAACTCGTCACCTCTACGACCATAACACGACAAGCTCAACAGCTCATACTCATCACCGATCCGTACATACAATCACTCTCTCACAACCTCCACCCCTTACGCCCGCCTTTTTCACGGACGTACACTGCGCGCATGCATACTAGCAACGAGTCCGAACCTCGTTGATTCACACCTTACACACCCGTGAATACATGCGCAAAATCCTCAACATCAACAAGTCAAAGGTAGATGCGAAGAGTAAGGCTTGTCGTTTTTTTCTGATGCCGGCTAACTTCGGAGAGACGGTCCTCTTCTCTCGCTTTCCTCCCCCCGCCCTCCCCCAAAGAAAGGAAGAGCGATCGCCCTCGTTCAATCAGATACGCAGCAGTTTCATTCTGTCTGCAAGCGGGCACCCCATGACATTCCTCTCCTCACACAACGATGGGCTTTCTACAGATGAAGGACAGCCCACTTGGGTGGCCTATAACAGAAGAACGAGATCAGGAAATCGCATGCCGCATGACAGGTGAACATCAAACTGATGACTGCCACAATCCATAAAACGAGGGATACATGGAAAAAGCTGGGAAAAAAATATGACCGCGCAAACGCTGGACGGAAAGCGTCCCACGGCTTCTTTCGCCCCTGGGCATAACAGACCAGATCTGTTCTCTCTCTCTCTCTCTCTCTCGAGCGAGCGAGCGAGCGAGCGAGCGAGCGAGCGAGATCACACACAAATCCACGCTCCTCGACTGAGATGCGACAAACGACACCCGACTACCACTAGGTAACCACTCCGCTGGAGTGGAAAGGGCGAGAAGACGCGAAACACAGAGACGGAAAGAAAACAGGATCCCGAACGAGACTGCGGTAACAAAGGTTTTCACACAACGAGAGACTTCACATATCGAACGTGACACTTCTCTCTTCCTTTTCTTTCCCACCTGGTGATTGAGAGGAGGGCTGAAGGAGGACCAGAGGACAGTAGTGAACGGCTGACCCAGACACACAGCCCAGTCTCAAAGGCCGCTTCCATCAGACACAGTTGCTTGCCTAAAACATTCTGAATTCTATTAAAAAAAATCCTTGGCACGCACAAGAAGATGTACGCACCCATTCCCTCCTCCCTTCCTCTTATTCGCATTGCAACCATTCCTCTTTACTCATCTACCAACAGCCCTCACCCCCCAGCCGCCCGCCCCCAAACACTCACACTACATACACACGCACACGCACGCACACGCACGCACACAAGCGTACACACACGCGCACACGTCCGTACACACTCCCACCCACGCACGTACATGCACCCGGACGCACACACCCCCCATGCACACACAAGGAAACATAGCGGATGCAGCGACCGTAGACCATACCTTGTTGAGAAGACGAATTCGTAACGACGGAGATGTCGTTCAACCCCACACGCGAATCAGCTTGGAAAGAGCTAACAATCCGCCCCGTCAAAACCTGTGCAGACGTCAGGACCAGGCCATGCCTTCTCGCGTCCTCCATTGCGATGATCAGGCCGATAAAAAGCCAGTCTCGCGCAAGACTTGCAAATTGCCGTGGCCAGAGAACAGCCGCCAACCGAGAGGAAAGTCACGATTACGGTGGCACTGAGATGTCAAACCTTATTGACGCTCACCGCTCACTACCTCGCCTCCTCGTAAATGGCGGCGACCGTCGTCCACCAGCGCCGAGAACGCACGACAGCAGGGCGGCAGCACGCCGATGGCTAGCAGTACCTGCCGAGACCTGACTTTTTAAGGGATCGAAGGCGCACGATGAGCGCGAGGTGTTTGAAAAAGGAACGACAGGAGGAACTGGCACCAACCACAAGAAAGTTCACTCGTCCGCTCGGAGCCGCAGGTTTGTCCGAACAACACGAAGGAATTGACACAACAGCCCGGCCGCGGACGCGCCTCAGTTGTTACGACAGAGAGAAATGGCAGAAACGGGCGCGCACGTGTGTGTGCGTGCTGCGCGCGTGCCTCTGCGTGTGCTGTGTGTGGTTAGAGTGTGTGTTGCTTTGTTGCTTTGTTGCTTCGGTTCCTGATTTGCGAAAAATGCTCCCGTGGTTAGAGTGCGTGTTGCTTTGGTTTCTGATTTGTGAAAAATGCTCGCGTTCCTATGCTGCGAGAAGACGAAGATGATAGGATATTCGCAGCCCTAAGGGCTGCAGTTCGTAGGCCTCGTATACTGGGGTAAGGGGGTTGCCGCGTCGGTGTCAAGGTGGCGCGAATTTTTGTGGTGGGCGACCGCTCAAAACGGAGTATAACCGGGGTGGAAGTTGTGGGTGAGCGGTCCTTCGCTGTTTTCTTTTTTTTTCCCTCGTTCAACAGTCCTTTCCCAACATGGGTGTGAGTGCGCCCATCAGTCAGGGTTGCGTTTTATTATGCCCTTGAGACCTTCAACGTCAATTCAATTGACTTACCATGAGGGCAGGGGTGCCCAGCCCGTAGTTTGTTCGGTGAAAAGAGAGAGAGAGAGAGAGAGAGAGAGAGAGAAAGAGAGCATTCGAGCCATGCACGCAGAGAGATATGGAGAGGCTACTTCCATCGACAGGACGAGCAAACTCATAATGAATCTATGGAAATATACACTGCTTTTCAGCCATCCGCGCAGAGAGATATGGAGACGCTACTTCCATCGATAGGATGAGCAAAATCAGAATGAATCTTCCGCTAGAGAAAGAGAGAGAGAGAGAGAGAGAGAGAGAGAGAGAGAGAGAGATCATTTGAATGAGCAGAATCGAATGAATCAACCGCTACAATATGGAAATATACACTACTACATGTGTGTGTGTGTGTGTGTGTGTGTGTGTGTGTGTGTGTGTGTGTGTGTGTGTGTGAGAGTGTGTGTGAGATAGAGAGAGAGAGTTACATCGATAGGATGAGCAACGCACCGGCCAACAGGTAAGTCTCCAACCCCGCAGCTGACCTCACGCTACTTCCATCGATAGAATGACCAAAACCGAATGAATCTTTCACTACAACATGGAAATATACACTACTGCACTTGTGTGTGTGTGTGAGAGAGAGAGAGAGAGGGAGAGAAAGAGAGAGAGAGGAGGGGAGGCAAAGCGCGGGTGCCGTTTCATCAATTTCCAATGACATGCGTCAAACATTTCGACCAATTTTTGCCTACGCACCGTTTCCAAAGGTATCGTTTCAACCATTACCATCTGCCTGCCGCCCAGCGACCCCGCCAACAGCGGTCCTACACGATCCCGCCCCTTGCTAGGCCCCAAATCTCAAAATGCCCACCCTCCCGAACGATCACCGACGTTGAAATTTAAAGTGATGTTGAAATGTCTAAGGGGGGGGGACGCAACCTTGACGGGCTGCAAACTTTCAACGTCGGTGGTCATTCGGAAGGATGGACAATATTGAGGTGAGGGTTTAGCAAGGGGCGGGGCGGGCGAAGGACCGGTAGATGCCCACAAGAGGCCGAGGATGCAGCGATCCTTGAGTTTGACATTTCAAAATCGGAACATCGTGGGAGGTCGGGGAGGCCGAGGAGGCTGCGGTCATTGAGTTTTGAACATTTCGAAATCAAAACGGTGTATGTCCACTTTTTCGAATAGAAAAGCACTTCAAATAGAAAACATGCGTTTTGTATTCGAATACAACGTATACCCTTTCTCTTCAAATTTTGAAAAAAAAAAAAATTGTATTCCAATAAAACAATACATTTTCTTTTTTTTTTTGCGCTTGCCCTTATACACCCCGTCACCGACATGTTGCATGCTGCAGGGTTCCTCTCTCTCTCTCTCTCTCTCTCTCTCTCTCTCTCTCTCTCTCTCTCTCTCTCTCTCTCTCTCACACACACACACACACACTCACTCTCACATACACACACATACACACACACATTTTTCTGCCTATTGATGGGGAGCAGTGTCGGGCACGACGATCCCACACCTTGCGGCAAGTATCGGACCTCACGGTTGTATCAACCAATTGTTCACTTTCATTCATATTACACTTATTGTCGCAGCCCTAAGGTAGTCTAATCAATGAGACTAAGAGCTAACACAAGAGAGAGAGAGAGAGAGAGAGAGAGAGAGAGAGAGAGAGAGAGAGAGAGAGAGAGAGAGACTGAATGGCAAAATTGAAATATGGGTCAAATTACGGCAGCGATCTATTTTGCAGTTGGAATAATTTTTTTTAATTTATTTAGCGTTTTTCCTAGAAAGAGCAAAACAAAATTTACGAGTACTCCAATTTTTAGATTTTTTCACGCATTCTTCTGAGCGTGAAAGCTTACTGAATTTGGAGCACGTTTTTAGTTGGCCCAGGCATGGCTGATTGGCAAAAATGGAAAATGTGTCGAATCGGCGCAGCGATTCTTTCGCACTGTAAATTTTTTTTTTTTAATGTTGTATTATTATTTATGGAAAGAACACGACCTCATCTATGGATTCTCAAAATTTCAGATTTTTGTGCATGTTCGTCCGAGCACAGAAAATCACCAAAGTTGCCTCTTGCAAAACGCGTATTTCGTTGTGTCTGACCTCCCTGTTTTGAGAAGATGGGGCTCAATGCCTGGGCCTGAGGGCCCTTTTGCAGTTCACATGCCCGCACTTCTTTTGGGGGTCCGCTTCTACCCGAGGACCGGTCCAACGCCCACCACTTCTTTTTGGGGTCCACTTCCACCTGAGGACCGGTCCTTCCTTTTTCCAAAAGTCCCGATTCTACCAGAGCTAGTTGTAGGTAGTCCGCAATTTTGCCAAGGACCGGTCCCCTAATTTTTTTTGCCCCTTGATAACCCACTTTACGTCCTGGTCGCCCGCTGCCAAAAATGCGACATCTTGACACAGACGCGGAAGCCCACTATACCGCAGCCTAAGGGTTGCGAACACTTTCAAATTTTTCAACCATACATTCTTTTTTTCGACTTAGTCATTTAGTCTGATCTGATTTCAGTGATTCAAGGACCATTTTGACCGAACACAGACCCTTTAGACAATGACAAAAAAATCATAAATTTATTTCAATATAAAGGTCGGTGCAAAGTGTGGGTGTCAAGGGTGAGTAAGGGTTGAGTTGGCGAACCAACCTGTTACCATAAGGCAACAGCATGTAGTCTTGCATAGACTCATAATGAGTCATTTTGAAAGTTAAGGTGACATGCAATCACATACATGTCAACAACTTGAAGGTTTTAACACCCCTCTCTATCGATAACACCCTGCATGAAGTTCAGTAATATATACTTCAAATCCAACGGGGGACAACTTCTTTTTAAAAAGTAGTTTCTTGGATTTTCTATCTGATTGTATCTAAGAGATAACTATTCAATTCAAGTAATTTAAGGAAGTTTAATATTTAATCAGACTAAATGTAAGTAAGCAGTATAAAGACCCTCACCGAAGTCTTCATCATACTACCTACTAGTCAATATGGATGCAGTCGAGCAACACGACGACTCACACTTGAGTCTTTATCATGCCGCTTTATGAACGCGACTAACCTATCATCGAAAAAACAACAGAAAAATTTGCATTGGTGCATCCATCTTGCCTTCTTTGATTTAGTTTTAGTTTGAGTATACGTGATTAGTAGATTGACTCGTACTGGAGTCTCCTACCACTTGTTCAACACCAGACAATCCATATTTGAATAAGTAGTTAAATAACTCATACTGGAGTATCTAACTACCATTTCAATACCAGTCAATCCACACGTATACAAATAGTAGGATAAACACAAGCGAAATAATATATATATGTGTGTTTTTCAGACAAGTAGTAGGATCACTCAGACTGGAGTATCCCACTACCTTTTTAAAGTAAACGAACAGTAAAACAACTCACACTCGAGTACCCCGCTATTTGTTTAGTTTCCAACAACTAAACCACATCACACAAATTAGTGTAGACTTCAAGGTAGTAATAGGATGACTATCACAAAAACTCCCTACTACTTCTTGAACACTGCGCAACTTAACTTCAAACAAGTAATAGGATGATAATTACATGAGTTTTCTACTTATTTTTTTAATATCGCACAGACTCACTTCAAACAAGTAATAAGATTATTTGAAGTTAGTAATAGGATTACTATCACATGGGCTCACTACTACCTCTTGAACACTACACAACTTAACTTCAAACAAGTAATAGGACGACCCTTACAAAAGTTTCCTACTACCTTTTGAATATCCAGCAGGCTAATTTCAAACGAGTAATAGGATGACCCCACAAGAGTCTCCTACTACCTGTTCGAGCGGATTATATGTAAGCAAGCATAAAATCAGAAGTAGGATGACTCACATAGGAGTATCCTAACCTTTTTTTCATAGTCAGTTAATTTAGATTCAAAACGACAATAGGTCGACCCTCACTAGAGTCACCTACTATCTTTTGAATATAGCATAGTCTGACTTAAACAAGTAATATGAGGACTCACACAAAAATATCTCACCACTCGTTCAGTCCAAATGATTTAGACTTAGACAAGCAATAGGATGACCCACACATGGGTCCTCCACATCCCGTCTGTCAATCTAGCAATCTAAGATATGTATACATGTACAAATGAGTAAGAGGATGTCCCTCTCACTGGAGCCTTATCCCATCACTCGTTACGTAGAGAGATGGTTAATGGAATGCATCGAAATTGAACATTGATATACCTTAAAGCACACACACACACATATATATATATATATATAAACAATTCGAAAAAATATGACAAAATATATATATATATATATATATATAAACAATTCGAAAAAATATGACAGTTTCAGTGAAAAATCCGTCGAAAATGACACCACCTATTAACCATAATCAGCATTCATACATTAACCTGATATAAAGCAATTGATGG